TTTTTTTTCAACCATGCCTTTCAAGCAGTCCCCTTTATCCCTTACCCCTTTATCCAGTCTGCAGCTTTTTTGACCTTTCATTTTGTCCTCTTACATTCATCCATGCCTGATTGATTCTATGTGTGCTTGTTTGTCCTGTCCACTTGTCGTTTTGCCTTTGAGAAAGATTCTGCTAGGATAGAAACGTCTGGCACTCGATATTTTGAAATTTGTATTTTAGGTCATTGTAGTCAGCAAGCAGTTTGCAGTAGCTTTGTATTATATATCTTTGAAATTTATCCGCAAGTGAAGAACCTCTGTCCCTGTCCAGTTTTGGAAAGGTGAAGAGACCTGTAACAATGACGTCATGCTTAGTTTACATGTGCATGTAGCAACATTTCCGAAGGCAATGAGGTGGGAAATAATATAGTCCAGGTATAATAATAGCTTGACGTCATTATGTTTTGGTCCATATATGAGGTATTACAAAAACAAAGTATGAAACAGATTCACAGGAGACTTAATCAGTGAATTATCCTTTCGGGGTGACCAACAACATTGGATCCACTCACCTTTTACCCAGAAGGCAGCAGTTAGAGATCAAGTACCAATCAGCTCAACATCGGGCACAGGAACTCCATCATCAAGACATGTCAAGAAACTGGATGTACCATGATCAGCGCCTCACCAGCGGCTTGTGCTCTGGCTAAAATGGGCACACACACTCATTAATTAAAAACAAAAGGAAGAAATGACAACATGAGTGATTTAGCCTGGATTAACCAATTCCCAGAGGGCAGGGGAAGATGAGAAAGGTGGAGAAAACTAATTTACAAGTGCTTCCTCAATGAACTTCTTCCAGGCATGTGATTTCAGATAGATGTGATTGAATAGACACCAAAGAATTATGGTCAAAATGGCTTCCAAAGTTCCATCACACCTCCTAGCCGATGTTAAATTCTTGGTGTGTGTGTTGTTGAAGCCTGCCTGTGACGGTCAAGGATATCATGCGTAAAACTCAGGACTAACAAGGCTATTATACCAACTAAAGCCACCAGCAACCATCTGTGAATGTTGGCTCACATGCTACATTTTAACAAGCCACTGTATTAGGGCTTTGTATTGGGCACAGAAAGATGACCACTGATGGCTTCAGTGACTAATAAGTTGGCTGATAAAACAAAGTGAGAGTCCGTAATTTTCATATGACACTTGTGGAATGTTTACACTCAATCTTGTATATGATTTGGATCCAGGAATGAGGACATTTATCCTTCTATAAATTTATAATCTCCATCCCTCCCCTTTGACATTTCAGTGCACTCCCCGTTCACTGGAAGCAGCCTGTGGATTCAGTTTCTGTCCCATTTCTGTTCAGTTTGATAAGAATCGTGCCACACCTAATAATTTTATCATCCAATTCGTTTAATTAAATTTAAATCTGCCCCAAACGGGCCGCAGATTGTCATTAGTTGAAAACTTTTGAGACAAATCCCAAGTGCCAGATTTACCAAAATGGGCATATTATTATCACCATTACCGTGGACTCATTTCAGAACATAATATAGACTATTTCCATACCTGTCGAGTATTGCCACCAGTGATAAGAAATGTTAAACTCCAGAAAACTGTCTCCAGGGACAAGCTTGTTCTTGTCTCTCTGTCACGTACTGCTGAAACTGGGGAACTAAACAAACTATGTTTGAATTCCAACCTGTATTATTACACATTCCTGGAGGCCTCTATTTCAAAAATAGGTTGCATTTTACAACAGCAATTGAAAAATTACTGAAAGCAGCGACAAATCAACAAAGATCAGAGCAAATAACATACTGGTTCAAGCCTACATTAGTGGAGTTTCTCATATAAAAATCTCATCTTCTTAGTTATCATTCTTCCATTGCTTTTTAATTGTTGCTTGGTTATAGCCAAGTAAATCTATTCCACAAAACACCTTAAATAGATGGTAAAAATGTTGCATCCCGACTCCACTTCAGCAGTAGTGTACAAAGTCTATGGGGAGTGAAGCTAATTTTCCAAGCATTTCCCAACATCAGTAAATTTTTCTCAGTTCAGAATTCGTCTTTCCAGCATTTCTGTAATGACTGACTTTTATTGAAATGATATAGGCAGGCCTATGGTGAGAAAAGTGGAGTCAGGATGCAACATTTTTTCCTACTTTTTTCAGCTCACACTAACAAGGAGAGTTGATCTGGGAATATTGATATATAGATATTCAAACAATCCCACTTATTTTTTTCAGCCAGTCAATCTCTTCTGGTAATGGTTTCAACTGCCATCCCTGCTATCTGTATCAAGTAGAAGCACTAGGCCTACTTGTTGGTAGCAATGGGGCTGTTCACATTTCCTTGCCATTCAGGAACCAGTGATGTGCAGTTAGGCTAAATCCAGAAACTGTCTCACAGGAGTGTTTCTTGTCTCTCCGTTACTGCTACAACTAAAGAAACCCCATTTAAATCCCAGCCTCCATCACAACATACACATGTGGAGGCTGCCATTTTGAAATACATGCACAGTATGCACTTCAACCCAGAAAAAAAACAGTGAAAAATCAACAAACCTACAAAGCCAAGAGCAAAATAACCTCCATTGTAGCCAACATGCACTACTTGGGTTTATCAATGTCACCGGCGGAAATCTCATTATCGTTTTGGCCGTCATTTCTCCATTTATTTTCAAGTGTTGGTTGGTAAGCCAAAGACAATTCTCACCTTTAAATTCTCCTGCTCTGAAGTCACAAAATTTAAATAGTCCCGCCAACGTGGCCAAACATGCGTTCTCGAGCGTGGGCATTGTCATGCTAATAAGTAATGACTCGGACCATCGCGATGTTGGAATAGCACGTGTAAAACTGGTCACCGATCAACTTTGGCACAGTATTGAGCAGGGTACTACGCAGGGTAACAAAAATGCGCTAGTGATTGGCGCTTTCTGGAATATCATTGCACACACACGCGAAAGTAAATCCAAAGAATGACCTCTGTTTGAAAGACAAAGACTATCCGTCTCCCAAAATTTTATTTCAATTCCCATCAATCTCAAAAATCATAGATTTTCTACCCCAAAGGCCAGGACAAACGCAACTAAAACCAGGTTTCCATAACGACCGCGACAAACCGTCCAAAACGGGCTTCCTCATAGCTCCGGCTAGGTTTTCCGTATGCGCGTCTCCGCGTATTTCCAATGGAGTGCAAACCGCCTAAACAACAGAAGTTCGGACGCAGCCTTTTGAAACCAGATAAAAGCGTTTAATTTTAAGATGTTTCATAGGGCTACTGTCTAATTCAACAACTTTCTTTTTTAAAATTGGAAGAAAAGTTTCTCGTAACTGTACTTTTTGTGATCGATGTCCCGAAGATCGAAACTGGCATATTTTTATGAGTGTGATCATGTTTCACCTATTTTGTTAGACCTCATGTCTTTTATCAACCAAAATCTCAAAGACCCAATTCAGTTTCGGAAATCTGAATTCCTTGTTGGAGTTTGGTGTACTAAGTTTTATTCATATAGGTGTAAATTCCAGATTCAATGCCTAGCTTCCTTTTGGGGGTTAAGACTGTTTTTACATCAATATCACATAGAATATAATATTGCTATCAAAATCAAATCCTTAGTCTTCATTATAAAAAATGGAAATTTCAATTCTAATTCTGTAAACCTTATGCAATTATTTCAAATGAGCATGTCACACAGCGACCATCCTTCTAGTAGGCCTATACATCTAACCCTAACCCCCACTTTTGGGGGGGCCGGGGTTCTCTCATACTTTCCTTTTATCTCGTTTCCTCAATCTCCTTAATTTTATATAAATCGTGCCTTTTCTTTTGAGTGTGCTTCTTATTATCAATAAAATAGAAATACGAAAAAAGACGTCGAAAGACGTCGAAATGCAGATAGTTGCAGTCGTTGCGTGACGTCATCCCACCGAAAATGAAGTTACGTCCAATAATCTGGGAATTTTAGCAACAAATGCCTTAGTTCGCAATAATGCCCATATAATAATACATACGTAAGTCGGAAGGAAAAATTGGCGAAAGAAAGGAGTGGAATTCGGCGAGGGGGACATCTTCAAACACTCATCATGCACTGATTTGCATACGACCAGAGAAAATTGCAGATACATTACAACGTAGGACGGAAATAGCGCCCTCTGGTGATTCTCAGGGAGGTTAGTCGGGGGGGTTCGGGGAGGTATGGGGGTTGACATTAAAGACAATGGCCAGAATCTGTTTTCTTTTTCATTTAACAGGAGTTAGCTATACCAATTTAATTAGTCTTTCCCCGAAATTAAGAGCATACTTTTGCTTATACTGCGGAATAACAGGTGAATCGCTGGACTGGTGGGCAAAAAAGAGCAAAACACTGGGTAAAAAAAGTGGTGCGTATACTACAAATTACATTTCAACAAGCGTTCGGTAAAAAAGACAAGTCTACAAATAACATCGGGAAAGAATCAACAAGGTCAGGTAATGCATTTGCCTAATGGGTAATATGCTCGTCTGCTTCCCAACGTTGGGCAACCAAAAATGCCTGGGGTTTTTCAACGAAAGTAAACGCACTTATCTAGGTTTCTACAACGACTCAATGCAGACGGTATAAGCAAATTTGATGCTGATCCAACTTTCCCGACTGCGGCGATGTTTACGCTAGTTACCAGGTGTTTCATTGGGGCATCGTTAAAATGATCGGAGATGCTCTGTACGTTTCACTTCTTCCAGATGGAAACGAAGAATAATGTACCTTCAAATGTAGCTTTTTGTATTCAAAGCATGACTAAACTGTTGCGAAAGATCGGCAGTAATTTCTGCTGAGAATTATCCGAGTTTGTAACAAAACAAGTTGGTGAGATAAAAATGCTTCTCAGTGTCGTGGTTGTGAAGGTTACGCAACCACAGATCTGGGGGGGTCAACCCGCTCAACAATAACCTGCGACTAAATTATGTCCATGTGTATGTGCATGGAGGAAGGAACACACTCCATGGTATGTGTGAGCACATCTCAGTACGGTGTCTCGTCGCAGTATATGCAGTCTGTGTCAGAGGTCATTTTAATTACCCGCGCAATCACTACTTTTGCCGTGCGTAGATATAACTGGTCTGTTTTATAAAAAACCCATGGCCTTGGACTCAATCTGGTTACAAATATAATTTTCTCCTCATTCCTCAGATATTCCAATTTAGCTAACTGTTTTAAATAAAAATTTGGGTTTTTCTGTCATATTGTGTAAAATTATTGGGATGGTGACAGTGAAGCAATACATGTTCACTGTACAAAATTACAACAGCAGAAAGCTGTTTGTCCTAAATTATACATACACAAGAAAAGCAGAGAAATTTTTGGTAGCTTAATATCAACACATGCACTAATTTAAAATGTGCATTCAAATTACAGAACTGCCAATTTTACATGTTCTATACAAATTACGGTTGGTAAAGGGCAAACTTAATTTTAAAAATACATCAAGACATACTTGAAGAGCAAGAAAAATTATCAAATATATAACCTTCATACGAAGACAATTTGCACTTACTGGACACGAAGTACCATTTGTGCAATTAAACATTACCACTGAAATCTCGACGAAGTGGATGAGGCTGACACTGGTAATGCATAATCTGTCATATTCTTAATCTCCCAAATTTAATCTTCCTAGTGCAAATATACAAACAAAATATTACCAAATTTCAACTCTTGACTGTAAATCTGAAACTCTCGACACTCCAAAGTTAGAGGACTATTGGGCATTGAAATTTTGATCACAACCAGATTTTTATTACAGAATAATTGATCTTGATGCTATGGATTTACCCTTGTCAGAGCGTTGATCTTCAACCTTCGGCTTTTTGGGAGAAAGCTGGTTAAAAGAGAACAGAAAGAGCATAACTAAATTGAAAACAATCTGCTTCAATCCCATACACAAAAAATGTTTACCATCAACAGTGGATCCATAATAAAACTTTCACATGCACATGTAGTTGATGTACTCAACAGGTGTTCTTTAAAGATTCAAAACCACATTCAATTCCACCTATCAAGGTGGATAGTACCCCATGAAGTAAATGTAAAAAGACAGTGTCAAACATGGAGGCTGGACTGCTAATGAGGCGACACTGTTTAAGTAAGGTGACACTTTTAGTAAAACCTACATTGCCTTTGGGGACACAATTGCTTTCAGTGGTATCTTTGGTATTAACGAGAGGTAATGCTCAGGAGATATCAAAAGGGATAAGCCATTGAGAGCTGAAAAGTACAGGGAAGTGTTACCAGGAATGATTACCTTGGGAAGTAAAAGTAGTTTGTCTTGAAAGGTGTAAGGTGTTTGTGAGAGCTACATGGCCTTGGGAAGTACAGAAAGGGATTCCAGTGGTTACCTTGGCATGCATGAAGGGGGGTTACAGAGGTTGCCTTGGGGTACAGGAAGGGGTTACAGAGGTTGCTTTGGGGTACAGGAAGGGGTTACAGAGATTGCCTTGGGGTACATAAAGGAATTACAGAGGATGCCTTTGGTACAAGAAGGGGTTACAGAGGTTGCTTTGGGGTACAGGAGGGGATTATAGAGGTTGCCTTTGGGTACAGGAAGGGGTAACAGATGTTGGCTTGGGGCACAGGAAGGGGTTACAGAGGTTTGCTTGGGGTACAGGAAGAGTAAATGGAAGCTTAACTGATGTGGCTGGTACAGAAGGCGATAGAGAAAGATGTTGCCCTGAGGTTATAGGAAGAGGTTAGTGAAAGTGGGATTATCTATGAGTTATGGGAAGGTTCAGACCACAGGAAGGTTTAGAGAGACGTTGCCTTAAGAGGTACAAGTAGGTGTCAGTGAGGACTAGACCATCGTATACAAAGCTGTCAATGAAAGGTACACTGCCCTGGGGTGGTGAAGATACAGACTTGCTAACACAATAATTACCTTTTCCCAACGTTCTATTAACTTTTTGTACTCAGCTGTGTAGAACTGAAACACCTCTTCACAATCTCTTCTTATCTCATGGCCTGGAGGATTATACTGTACACAATTATTGTGTACCAGCATCATATCATTGTGAAAGTCAGCAAAATTGTCATACCGTCCATTCTGTAAAGATATAAATTATCCTCACAAAGTTATATCAAGACAAGATCTTAACACTAGCCCCTCAGGTGTATGTAGAATCATGTTGAAATCGGATTGAGGATTGATAGGATTAATGCAGACAATCCTCGAACTATGCCATCTTGATGAATTAATCACATGATTTGTTACTGAATGTTGAATATTTTAACCCATTGACTTTGTACACAATGTTCAAGGGGCCATATTGGTCTCTTAGCAATCTTACATCTTTGTCAAAATTACACCAAGCAGACTGTAATGCAAAGTTGATACCAGAACACCGACTTAATGATGTCATAAGGTGTTATATTTAATCATTATAGAGTTTGACAAGTTTAATTTTGAAATCTCCACAAAAAATCAAATGTGTGTTTCCAAAACTTGCATTTGGCAGCAAGTGGTAGAATAAATATGGGTTTTGATTTTTTCTTGTGCACGTAAAATCAAATGACCCTTGCTTCCAGTCGAAACTGGCCGAAACTGAAAGTGCCTTATTATTAAAATTTGGTAAAAGATATCAACTTGCTGTCAACAGGGTTAGTCTCCAACCAAATAGTAATCCTCAAATTGTTCAAACAACAAATCCCAACGGATAGTCTTGAATTGCCCATCAAAAGATAAACATCAGGGTTAATTGTCCCAAGCATTGGACAAATTTATTTCTCATCATCTTCTACAGTTTAAAGCCCGTTATCCAGCCTGTCCTGGGTTGGCCTGCTACTAAGCCCTGTCCACTGCATCCCCTGCATTGACACCAAGAAGTCACGTGTCTTCTGACACGGAGCTCTGTCACGTCTTACTACTGTAGGTCGGCCAGTAGGTGTGGACCCACCCACAACTACTTTCAAACATCTCACACACGCAATCCGCCCATGAAAAAAAAATAAGGGTCTCCTGTCAGCAATAACTGTGCCACACGGTTAGGAGCATACGCTTTATGCAAGTCTATAAGCTTCGCATTGTAATAAGCCACACCTGTGTTTGATTCCTGCTCACTGTATATCCAAACCAAAAGATTTACTGTACGTTCAAATTTTTGGACACCCAAAGATGAGGCAAGTTTATGTTTCATTTTCAAAATTTAATCCAATAATTCAACATAACTTCAGTTTTTCCTTTCCTGATAGGTGACTCTGAAGAATGTTTTAACTTGAAGTAAGAAAAGGCATAATTGAAATATGAATGTACAAATAATGTGAACATATGCTTTCTCCCTCAATACAAAAAAGTGAAAATGCGCTGTTAAAAAGACATAGAATCTTTTCTAGTATTTGCAAATGTAAGTACAAACTCTGTCAAGTCATGTTGATTTTTTAAATTCTTTTAAAACAAAAGATTCTTGTCCATAATTTTAAAGGTTTGGGTTTTGATGTGGAAAACAAAGATTTGATACCTCCAATTTTCTCTTTACAGTTCCGAAGTCCATTGGGTATTTGATGACTCGATTGTAACCTGGTGCTTCAGATGCTGCAACTACCAAAAGCATAAATCAATCATCAAAAAATCATTACATGCCCAGACACAAATTGAGAGTTTTCACAACTTTCACACTCCCAAGTAAATCTGTCAATTAGCTGAGCAGATTTATATTCCATCTAGTCAAATGTTGCAAATTTTGCTAACTGGACTACTTTCATGAACTAAAAGAACTCGCGAAGGAAAGAAAATAAACAGGAAGTATCTAACTATCTGGCAATTAGATACTGCAGTAACAGCTACATTTTTAGCGAGTGCTAAGGTTCTATACAAAAGAAAATGAATTTCTCTGGCTAACTTAGCCGGCTTCTGACAGTCCTCTTTATTAATAGGTTTTTGCAGCTGACTGCCATAAACGAACAAAATAACTTTGCAATATGCTTCTTGCCTGTAAAAATTAACATTTATAAAGAACAGATAATGGAACCAACTGGCTTATGCACCAAAGGATATAAAGGAAGGATAAATGCAAAGTCACAGCTCACCTGAGCTGTATATTACTCCCAAATCTAGTTCAATGCGGCAACAAAGCGATGCTTAAGAAAAAGAAAAGATTTTGTCACCACTAGCTTGAGTAGGCCAGTCTTGCCCCAGTGAAGCAGGACTACAGTCAAACACGCTTAATACGAGCTCAAAGGGACTCTCCAAAAAACCTCCTCTTACGGTAAACCTTGTGTTATACGTGTTGACAGTTATCCCCTTCATAAAGCGCACGCCTGGCGTCATGCACCAGCAAGCTTTGTTATACACTACGGCAATGTAAGTGTGCTGCAGGCCTACATGTACCATACGATACAGTATTATGCAGTGGATTAGTATTCGATGTACAGCCTTTAACTTGGTGATAAATTTTAAATCATATTAATAAATACGATTCCAATGAATAAAACAATGATTCCGAATACGCCTACTTGTTTGACGCAACAGTGGCTGGCTGGCTGCCCTGCACCACGCGCACGCAGCGTGGCCAGGCAAAAAAACTCCTTGGAAACTGGTACCCGACAATGCACGTTAGTAAAGGTTTAACTAACTTGAGAACCAGTTCATATAAGGACCAGACGTAAGAGGGCGTTGAAATTGGGAAATTCCATTTGTTTCTAATTGGCAGGAGGGATCCATTTTCAAGTCAGGTTCACCCATAATTGTTCATGTTCGGATTAAAAAAAACACCTCTTTCAGACCAGGCCCACTGTGATCAAAACTCCTTTGAAGCCACGACATCACAACACCTATTGTCATGATCTAGAATGAAGCCCCCTTAGTGGCACAAGGAACAGAGTCGCTAAGTCTTTGTTGGCAAAACTGCAGCACAAATTGCCAAGCGGATTAGCAGTTTTGGATTTTTGCATTAAAAATGCCCTGGACAATGGTTTTTGACACTACCGGTTAGGCAAAAGTGCTCGTCTTGTCCGTGTTCTTGTGGTAGCATAGCTCATATTAAGTAAGTTTTCTCTCATAGGAATGTGTACATTTTGAACGGGACTGAACAAATATGCTCGTCTTAAGCACGATCTTGTATCAGGCGTGCTCGTGTTATGCACGTTGCATAAGTACAACTGCTTGGGCTAATAAAAGAAATTCCAAGCTACTACACATTGAAATTTCTTTGTGGAATAACACCACATTCTAACTCGTGATATTCAAATAAAACAGTGACTGTTTGGCATTCACTGTTAAATAGAATGTTAGAATTCTTACATGAACATAGGCATAGACGAAGCTCTTCACACTGACAGAATGCTGTATAACAAGCATACTCCTCACTGAATTATGGTTTTATGGCCCTAGGATTTAAATTTGCCATACTAACTGCTGATGTTATTACCTGGCCTTGTAAACCAAGATGCTGCATTCAAGTCTCCCTTTGATCGATTGGCACCTCTAAACCTCATCACCCGCTGCAACAAACTATAAAACAAAAAATGATTTGCTAAGCAGAACCATACATGTACAGAGGATATTTAGACAATTTAAAATGATATGCTTTTTCGGTTTAGTACACCTGTTGTCTGTTCAGCCTCCTGAGTCAATGAACATGTGTCACCCTTGCACTAAACCCCAACATAAACGTCAACCCACTGCCTTACTTGAAAGCTGCCCTTGCCCAGCTAGACATGCTAGTTGGTCCAGGTTCCTCATCAATGGGTGCTGGTGCTTTACGCTTTCGATTACTAATCCGTACACCCTGTGTTTCTTCAGATCCAAGCCCAGTTCCAGCACTCACACAAACATTAACACAACTTCCTGCAAAGAAAATATGAAAGGAACAAGGAAGACACAATGGCATCTCACTACAAGCACAGGAGGGTCCAACAGTTGTACAGTAGTTGTTTTAATTCCAACAGTTTGAAGCAATGAAAACAAATTCTTGCATGTTGACATAATCTGCAGTATGAAGCACCATTTTACGGGTTTTGACTGCTAAAACAATACAGTCTGCAGCATTGCATGCACTAAACACCCCGAGTTAACCAATGTAAACACTGTCATCCACTCATATATAAAAGAAGCTAGTATCAAAATCTGCAGTACAAATATGAAAAGCTTCTTTCTGTGACAGGATCGCCATTCTCAGTCACATTATGAGTCATCTTACCTGTTATTTTTACTGGACTGGACTCCAAGCTTGTATTACTCTGTTTCTCATCATCAACATCTTCAGAATCTTGAAGTCTCTGACTTGTGAAATCTTCCAACTTCATTTGTGAAATGTCAACTGAAGTCGATTCCATAACAACACTTGCTGCTCCCTTCTGACCACAAGTCAATGTTTCAAAATCCTTCAAAGTAAATAATAAAAATTAGCATTAACAGTGAATTAGCTAAATTCTACCTCAGACTATAAGCTACTGTTCAATGGGGACAGTAACACAACAATGTTTCCTCTCAGCCAGAACGGCATTGTGAATGGATCAATAACAAAATGAAGAAACTCACACAGAGACTTAACTATATTTGAACATGGCCAACAATTTACTGTGAGAGGCCCATGGTTAAAATCATGTACATAGGAATAATTTCACTTACTGTTTTCTTTCTCCATGATGGTAAGGCAAAGTCAGTAGCAACACTTCCACTGGATACACAGTCTGACAAACCAGCAGGTGTTGATGATAACACTTCAGACAATGATTTAAAAGAATCAGTGGATTGTCCAGTCTTTTTTGATACGGATGACTTCTGCATAGCTACATGGTCACTTTGACTCTTTTCCTGAATTTCACTAACCTCCTCTATTCCTTCACTTTCTAAGAATTGTTCAAACTGATCAACAAATGATGATACTTCTTCTGATGAGACATTGACTCGATCAGTGACAACACCTTGATCTTCAATGGTGACTTCTTGTGATTCCTTCTTGCCTTTCTGGGATTGTCCCTTCATGTGGATATGACTATTTGACTGTCTACTTGGAGAACTTGCTCTTTCATCCTGGGAACAGCTAAGCACAGTTTCCTTTAAAGACACGTCTTGTTTCGCTGGATGGATTTTGCTCTGCTCTTGAAAAGCTTTTTCAACTTCCGCAGTAGCTGATTGGAGAAAGGAAGCAGCTGATGCTGGCTTTTCTAAAAGTTGAATGAAAAACAAACACCAAATATAAAATACAACAACTTGAAATTTCCTGTTTCACAAATAAACGTGGTACGGTTTTGGCTGTGAACACTGTTTCTACCAGGGAGGAAATGATTTAGAATTGACAGTTCCTTTTGTTGAGTAAAATGTCTGTATGTGCACTAGAGAAACTGTAGGCTATTACCTGGTCTATCTGACATCAAAGCCTTTTTCAGTCTGCTCTGTATGTTTGTCAACAAAGTTGGAGAAGACTGTGAAACATCTCCAGCTGGAGATCCTAAGGTAGGCATATCAGTTGCTGGCTGGGGCACTCTAGTTGTCAGTAATGCACGATGAGTTAATCTTGAAGGAGCTGTTGTTAGCTGGGTAGATGGCATGGTAAGCAGTGATGTAGTCTTACTAGCCGATTTGGAGCCAATGTGACTTAGATCAATAGTCTGGGAATGTTTCTGTGCATCTGTTAAAGAATTGTAAAAACAAACTTATCATATTGATACAGAAATTAATTCATACACAGTTCCAATCCCTGTAGATCAGAAGACTTCCATTAGAGGTGTTTTTAAATTGTAGATGCACATGTTAATTGAAAGATACGTCCAAGCAACTTGATGAACAAATGACTCACAGCTTATAAAATGCAGTGATTATGGGAGCATTTACAGGTCACACAAGTTGTGAGTAGAAAATACATTCATTTGCAAACAAATTGTCAACGACACCACGACTGACACTTGTGGGCGAAGTGATCTCATTCGTGCGCATTTTAGTGAACCAAGTTATTTTTGTCTTCATGAACTGATATCGATCATAATTCCACCAGTTTAAACAACTTTAAACTAACTTTTTGTGCAATGCAACAAAAATATACAGATGGATTAAATTCCTGTCAAAATTTTCTAAGCATTTTTCTTCTCAGTGTATAGCCAAAACAAGCTTAGGTGTCAGTTTCAATGTGTGCATGCAATATCAGGTGTTAGTTTCTAAAACTGAAGTTGTTGATAATGCAGTTTTCATAAACTGATATCCGGTTGTAGGTAAATGTCAGTTGCCAACTCATTTTTTTCAAGCTTCTCCCTGAAGGCCCTTTAGGACTTATTTTGAAACACTAACCCAATATTAATAAAGTATTAAACCATCTCTCAACATGCATGTAATAGGTTTAAATATGACAGACAGAGGCTGTAACTATACAATGGGGCAACCACAAAATAAGACCAAGTTAACCAATCAGGACACCACTCAATTTACCGGGGTGTGATCTGAATTCAAGAAGTGCCTTAATTGCAGATGATGCAGATGAATCAGGTGGACTTCCATCATAATCAATCCATTCATTGTTGGGATGGGGGTAACTACCAAGAAGTCCTCTTGTGAAACTACCTGAGTAATCTGAGAAAAATTATCAGCCTTCATTACTGATCAGTTACGCACGCTTTTTAGTAATTTTTTAATTTTTCATTCTAATTTTATTTCAGGGGTGTTGTTGCATTTTCTAATACAGAAATTGTGGATCAAAGAAAGATGTCATGGCCATGTAATCATACGAGGTCTATAAGAATAGTGTGAAAAGCTTGTAAACATGCATTACCCTTCACAGCTTACTGATAGAAACAAACAAGATGTGGTTTTATAATTGACTGTAGATCTTTGAGGGCAAAGCAAGGAAATTGTAGGGATTCATAGAGGATTTCAGAATTTATTTTGTCCACTCTGGTTCACCATCATTTTGACAGCACATTGTGAACCATTCACAAATGGTCAATCATTGCAACATGCACCTTAGAGAAGGTTCCTTCATGTAGGCATGTTTACATTTTCAAATATGACTTCAACAACAATGGCAACTTTTCTCTGAGTGGAACATTCAGTTTGTTCAAGCCTTTGTATAGAAGAAGCTTTTGAAGATATCTGGGTAGATTTACCTTTACGTTTATTACATATTACATAGAACCTCATTAGAAAAACTTGTTAGATTTAATTTAATTAAATCTATATTTAATGGTGCCCCCAATCTTTGTAATTTTCCAGGGTCTTCAAATACTGCTATTGTAACTCTAACTCAACAGGAACACCACTGCTACATAATCTACTGATGACTATTAAAACCCTGACGACATTTCAAGTGTGGTCTGTGTGTATCTCAATCTGTTGAATAAAACATTGGCAAGGTCTGACAATGAAGTGACCTATATGTGACCCACTCTGTGAAAATGAGTCTAAGTCGCCAGAGCCACTTTTTGAGTTTTCAATTGTACTAGAAAGAGCAAATTGAGTTTTTTGTTTTGATGTATCACTCAGTTTGGCATCCTGATGAAAGTGGATACTCCACGGTGACAAATGCTGTGCGTTCCTATCGATTTACACTTTGCAAAGTATTCTAAAACACTTTTTACTCCAAAGTAGCTCTGGTGACTTAAGACTCATTTTCGCAGAGTGGGTCACATATGTATTATGTGGCTCTACTGCTCCAACGCTACATAACTTGACAAAAGTTGTCAACATGTCTGACCTCTTCCTTGTCTGCCACTCTGCACATCTTCCACTACTCTTGTATTCCCACTACTTTGTAGTGTGTTTGGAGACACTGATCCAACTGACCGTTTCTGAAATGGGAAGTGACAAGGTTTAAATCATCTTATACTGAGCATCGCTATTTAAACAACAAATAACGTTGATCTGTTACACTACCGATATCACACTATCTTTAGTGCTCAAAATAGAACCCACCTGACTTAGCAAACTGCCAGGTGTAACCATGGTGATTGGACTCCTCATTCCTCTAGAGCCTGAAGATTTTACTGATGTCATAGCAATACTGCTTGTATTTTGAGGTGAAGGAAAACAGATACCTGCTGACAAGAAGCTTGGAGCTGTTGTAGAAGTTGGAGCAGCAGACACCATAGAGATTTTTGGCCGTTGCAAAAGTGAACTTGTGACATGTGCCTGTAATATTTATTTCAAACTCATCTTGCTTTACAATCCGTAGAAAAAACTTACAAACTATTCAACATCAGATAAACAGACCCAACAATTACAACGTTTCAGGAAATACTGATAGGTGGGCATGTTGGAATAGACCTAAACACAATAACATAACGCAATGCTTACCATTGGTGCATTGTGGGCAAAAGGTGGGGATGACAGTCACGACATATACAGTCCAGTCTCATTATTACGAAATTCACGGGACCATGTAGAAACATTTGTTGTATCAAAAATTTGTGTGAATGAACCTATAGAAAAATTTGGGACGGCAGTGTTTTTTCGACTTGCAACTGTACAGCTGCATTTGTATACAGTGTACATACATGTAGTGGACTGTTCACAACCCTTTTTGGCAGGAATTGTACATAGACTGGTTGCCGCATTCCCTCATGCCTTCTTTGGCGACGGTTTGGCCCAGCGGGAACCACTGTGATGCACTGCGCACATGTTTTCACCACCGCGATTCACAAACATTCATTATAAATGGGTCGTTAACAATGGTTTTTCAGGCAACGGAGTCACAAAAACCATTTGTTGTACTGGAATTTAGTACAATGTGATCTCGCTGTAACAGATTTTTTCCCCAAAGAGATGTGAATGTTTTCGCCGGGACCACAGGCTTGTGTTTGTCATAACCAGAACTTTGTTATAGCCGATTTTGAAATAACGAGAGCAGACTGTAACACAGGCTATTGCTAGAATCATGGACAATAAAATCCCAAGTCAAAAAGATCCTGAGATTGAGATTGCTAAAATGGTTTGTGTTAATTGTTGTGGGCCATTGTGTGTATTACGTACACAACAAACGATACAGCTGCATTTTTTCAAACTTCCACAAAAACTGCAAGTTTGATTCGTCTCAAGTCACATTAAGGCTCGAATGATGATACTATCCCCACATTTGACCTACAATACACTGCATTGCATCATGTTGTTTTAGGTCGATTACCTCTGGGTGCCCTGAGGGACTGCTTACCTCTGGATGAGAGAGCTTGCCAGTGGGCACCTTTTGAAAGAGCTTTACAATGGATAGGCAATGAACCAGAAAATCAGTGGTTGCTACTTACCTGTGGGCTCTTGGAGGGATCTGAGATGACTACTTGAGATCCTTGCGTATAAGATTTGTGAAGAAGCATGCTTGACTTGCTTCCAACTATACTTGTCACAGTCTGACTGACATCTATGTAACGCAATGTAAAAAGCAGAAAAACATTTCAATATTATATCCTTGCATTTAAATAAGGGAATGACCATGTGCTTGACCGCTTCATTTAAGACCAGGATCAGGAGACTGGACTTGAGTAAAATCCTGGGCCAATGAAATGGAATGTTATCAGTCTCCATTCTCCTGTGCCAGTCTTATATGCACATTAAATACCAATCAACAATGCACGGTCAGGAATCAGAACACGTGTTTTAAAAGTGCAGAGTAACATGGGCAGCCACACAAGGAAAGCTATTTACATGTACACGTACACCTTCATGTGTAGGTAACAACTGCCATCTTTACATAGCAAATAGTTTATTTTTATTCTTTTTCCTTTTCATTGAACATACCTGTAGAATGTTCTGACTTTTTGCTGTCTGAAAACTTATATCAAACAGTTTCAATTAAATAAGAATGTTTTAATGACCAACAAGCCTACTCATAAATAACATTTTGAGCCACAAAATCAGAACAAGTAACTGATAAATTTCCAATAAGTTTGTTGAACACATTGACTTTATTGTTTTCAAATACCCCCTTGAGAAAAATTTTGGTATGTGCCTCTCATGAATACTCCAATCTCCTAATACGAAGATAGGCACATGTGAAGAATCTGATGAGCCAGTGTAGTGTGAATTCTGGATTCTCAAAATACAGACTCATGAGTGGTGTCAGGCAAACGCAAATAAAGGCTGTAAACGTTCACCAATACATGGGAAGAGAGACCTGAAGAAATGGCTAAACTGTCTGGAACTTAATTTATACAAAGAGGCAATTGCTGGAGGATTTACATGAAAACGATAAAACATTCAACTTCATTGTAAAATCTTCAGGAAGGAGATCAATAGAGATAATGTAAGGGAGTATAAATTTGTTAGATGCCAACGTGTTAAATGATACTGCGCTACCTACTCCAAAGAAACTGCTAATTAGAAATTTTATATTTGGATTAAGCAGGTTATATTGAACATATGGCAAAGCTTGAGGTTATTTGATTACTTACTGGCAGTTGTTGTTGCTTTGATAGTTTGTATCACCTTCTGATTCACCACTGCACTGGTGACCACAACCTTTGATCCACTTCCAATGTTCACTGTACCACCCTGCACCACCTTAGCATTAACACTGCTCATGCTGCTCACTGTACTTGGCTTTGTCCTGATAAGAGGTGTTGTCACGGCAACATGATGTGGAACAACGCCAGCAGAAGTTGAACTGATTATGACCTTGTGACCTAACAAGTCAAATCAAACCACACTCAAATTTCATCAATTGCAACCAGCAAGAAACATCTTTCATTCTTGACTGCTAGAGGAATTATTTTACGAGGCCAAGTTAATTCTAACTTAAATACTTAGGAATTTACATCTATGAAAATGACTTTGAATTTAACCAACATAAACCAAAGCATTCTATGACACCGATAAACCTGTCATTAAGGAGGGGTCCTGGAGGGGCTGGGCAATACTGGCAAGTAGCTCCCCCCCCCCAAATCAGCAAACCATAAGCATAAAAATTATCTCTTCTTCTAGTGATGTTCCCCCCAGCTACATGTAGTACTATGGGCCCCTTCCGAAAACCTGAAGCTGGTGACAGGGCTAACCATAATCCCCCTGTGGGCAACATGTCCATGGATCAGAGGTACCATAAGTGCATGTGTGTCAGGCTTTTCTCTATCATTTGGTACTAATTACATGTAATTGGTCAAATATAATTGGAGGGAATTAATCAAACAAGGAAAACCAGATTAATGTGTTTTAACACACATGCCCTGCCAAGCCATTGCCTACACCCAAAACTTAAATATGTAATTACAAGATTTTAAATGTTTTAGCCATTTTGACCTGGACCTTTAAACCTGGAGTGCAATAGACTTCTTAAGACTAACACGAGGCCATACATGTATAAGGGGATATTGTGTGGACATACAAGAGGCCATACATGTATAAGGGGGATACTGTGTGGACATACACGAGGCCATACATGTATAAGGGGATATTGTGTGGACATACACGAGGCCATACAT